TTTTGTTTAATGTGAGTTGAGATCTTTCTGGTTCTTCATATGCCAATTTTGAATTGTATATTGGATATTTTTAAATACTGTATAATGAGACTCTAGGTCTTATTTTTTAGTTTTTATTGGGGTTTGTTTTTGTTTTTGTTTTTTGTTTTTTTGAGACTGAGTCTTGCTCTGTCACCCAGGCTTGAGTGCAGCGGCCCAATCTTGGCTCACTGAAACCTCCATCTGGGTTCAAGCAATTCTTGTGCCTCAGCCTCCCGAGTTGCTAGGATTACAAGTGTGCACCACCATGCCTGGCTAATTTGTGTATTTCTAGTAGAGACAGGATTTCACCATGTTGGCCAAGCTGGTCTCAAACTCCTGATCTCAAGTGATCTACCTGCCTCAGCCTCCCAAAGTGCTGGTATTACAGATGTGAGCCACCATCCCTGGCCAAGACTCTAAGTCTTTAAATCATATGGAGAATTATCAAGGGAACCCGCCCCCAATGGTTAACATGGGTTCTTTTCTATTTCCTATGCGTCTTGGCTGGTTTGAGAAATAAAGGGAAAGAGCACAAGAGAGAGAAATTTAAAGCTGGGTGTCCAAGGGCGACGTCACATGTTGGCAGGTTCCGTGATGTTCCCCGAGCTGTAAAACCAGTAAGTTTTCATTAGCAATTTTCAAAAGGAGAGGGAGTGCACGAATAGGGTGTGGGTCACAGAGATCACATACTTCACAAGGTAATAAAATATCACAAAGCAAATGGAGGCAGGGCGAGATCACAGGACCACAGGATGGGGCGAAATTAAAATTGCTAATGAAGTTTCAGGCACACATTGTCATTGATAACATCTTATCAGGAAACAGGGTTTGAGAGCAGACAACCTGTCTGACCAAAATTTATTAGGCGGGAATTTCCTCATCCTAATAAGCCTGGGAGCGCTACAGGAGACCGGGGCTTATTTCATCCCTTCAGCTTCGGACCGTAAAAGGCAGCTGCCTTAAGGGGGCAGTCTGTAGACCTACCCTCAGGGCGCATTCGCTTTCTCAGGGATGTTCCGTGCTGAGAAAAAGAATTCAGCGATATTTCTCCTATTTGCCTTTGAAAGAAGAGAAATATGGCTCTGTTCCATCCGGCTCATCGGTGGCCAGAAGTCCTATCTCTCTTGTTCCCTGACATTGATGTTATCCTGTTCTTTTTTCCAAGATGCCAGATTTCATATTGTTCAAACACACATGCTCTACAAACAATTTGTGCAGTTAATGCAAATCATCACAGGGTCCTGGAGGCGACAATATACTCCTCCTCAGCTTACAAAGAAGAGACGGGATTAAGAGATTAAAGTAAAGACAGGCATAGGAAATCACAAGGGTATTGATTGGGGAAAATAGATAATGTGTCCCATTAATCTTCACCAATTTATGTTCAGAGATTGCAGTAAAGACAGGCGTGAAGTAAAGTATAAAATGTGTTAATTTGGTGGTGAATCTAATAAATGTCCATTGAATATCTTCTACAATTTATGTTCTTCTGCCACGGCTTCAGCCAGTCCCTCCGTTCAGGGTCCCTGACTTCCCACAACAGAGAATGTTGATATTTTCATCAGGTAGACAGTGCATTTGGGTCCAGACTGCAAGTTCTGACCATCCTCTATGTTTTGTGGTTCTCATGTCATTTCCATGTGTAAGGATTTTGTAGTGCTCTTTGGGTCCGTTTCATATATGTGAAAAACAGTGGCCACCTTGGAACTTGGGTAATGGTATGTTTCATAGTTCAGTTCTCAAAGTCTGTGTATGCTGTTTAGGGTCAGATTCATGCATGGGCTCAGGGATAAACCCAGGAGTTAATAAAGAACTTTAACAAATTGCTTTTCCCAACTTTCCCAGGCTCCTCCCTTTCTGTGGCATTCCTATTACTTTCTGCCCCCTTTTTGGTGCTTCAGCTAGAAAACTGGAGCTTTCCTTGACTTGCTCTGCCATGTACTTACTGCAGGTCCCCATCTGGGGTCAAATGGTGAGGGCAAAGAGAGAACCTTGAACCACAGATCCTCCAATTGGAAAGGAAGTTTCCCTTCTCTTCGAGTTTTAGGTTCCTCCTGGCCTCCTTTGCCACCACTGCTGTCAACATGGGATCGGAACTTGAGCATGAAAGTATAGAGAAAAAGGAGAGGGAAAAGGTAGGGCATTGAGCATTAGGAGGCCCCTCTTCAGCTCCTTGAGCTAGAACCAGAGAGCTCCCCCTGGAAGTCTTTGTTGGCATTGATGCCCACCTCTGAGTTTCAAACTGTGGCGAGTAGTGGCCAGTGAATAGCAGAGGGGAAAAGTGATGATCTCACTTTTGACTTGGAAGTACTTCAAATTCTGGTCATCTTCCCCAGTACACCTGCTACTATTTATTTTTCCAAGTCCTCAAATAGCTGCCCAGTGCATTCCATCCAGGCTTTGTAGCTGCGTTCAGTGGGACAGACAAGATGGAGTGTGGTTACTCCATCTCACCAGGAACTGGAAACCCACTACACATCTTTGAGTGGGAGAATTAATGTGCTCAAAATTCAGATTTTAGAATAGACTGCGGCAGTATTTGAATAGGGTGAATTAGAAGGGCTGAGATGGGAGCCCCACGAAACCTGTAATAAAAACTAAAAGGGCCAGGCGCGGTGGCTCATGCCTGTAATCCCAGCACTCTGGGAGGCCAAGGCAGGCAGATCACGAGGTCAGGAGATTGAGACTGTCCTGGCTTAAACACGGTGAAACCCTGTCTCTACTAAAAATACAAAAAATTAGCTGGGCATGGTGGTCGGCGCCTGTAGTCCCAGCTACTTGGGAGGCTGAGGCAGGAGAATGGCATGAACCCAGGAGGCGGAGCTTGCAGTGAGCCAAGATTGCACCACTACTCTCCATCCTGAGCAACAGAGCGACACTGACACTCTGTCTCAAACAAACAACAACAACAACAACAACAAAAACCTAAACAAAAGTAATAAGAACTCAAACTAGTGGGACAAAAGTAGCAATGCAAAAATGGGGGATAGTGAGAACCAATGCAAGATATGTTATCTCACACCCACTATCCTATGGAATAACATTAATTCAGCATCACTGTCCAAATGTTACAGCCAGAAAGAAGACCCACATGGGGCATTGCTAATCGTTAAGGTCAGAGCTGAGACTGACTTTATTTATTTTGAGAAAGTCTCACTCTGTCGCCCAGGCTGACGTACAGTGGCACAGTCTCAACTCACTGCAACCTTCGCCTCCCAGGTTGAAGTGATTCTCCTGCCTCAGCCTCCCGAGTAGCTGGGATTACAGGCATCCGCCACCACACCCAGCTAATTTTTTGTATTTTTAGTGGAGACAGGGTTTTGCCATGTTGGCCAGGCTGGTCTCGAACTTCTGACCTCAAGTGATCAGCCTGCCTTAGTCTCCCAAAGTGCTGAGATTATAGGCGTGAGCCACCATGCCCAGCCCAGAGCTGAAACTGACTTTAGAGATCACTTTATTCAACACTCAATTTTAGCAGTTTCATTGGTATGTAATTTATATACCATACAGTTCACCTGTTTAAAGTATGTAGTTCAGGCTGGGCACAGTTGCTCACACCTATAATCCCAGAGCTTTGGGAGGCTGAGGTGGGCAGATCGCTTGAGGCAAGGAGTTCAAGACCAGCCTGGCCAACATGGTGAAACCCTGTCTCTACTAAAAATACAAAAATTAGCCAGGCGTAGTGGCAGGTGCCTGTAATCCCAGCTGCTCAGGAGGCTAAAACAGGAGAATCGCTTGAACCTGAGAGATGGAGGTTGCAGTGAGCTGAGACTGGGCCACTGCACTCCCACCTGGGTGATAGAGTGAGACGCTATCTCAAAAATAAATAAGTAAAGTGTATAGTTCAGTCTTTTTGATATATTTACATAGTTGTGCAACTATCACCGTAATGCAATTTTAGAACATGTTAATCCCTCCAGAATGAAACCTTATACCCATTAACAGCCACTCTCATCCCCCACCCCAACTCCCTACTCCACCCAGCCTAGGAAACCATTAATATGTTTTCTTTCTCTACAGATTTTGCCTATTCTGGACATTTAAAAATAAATTGAATCATAAAATGTTACCTTTTGTGGATGGCTTCTTTCACTTACGTAATGTTTGGGAGGTTCATCCGTGTAGCAAATATCAGCACCTCATTCCTTTTTATTGCTGAATAATATCCCATTGTAGGGATAATGCCACCGTTTGTTCATTCATTCATCAGTTGATGGATATTTTGGGTTGTTCTCACTTTTGGGCTATTACGAATAATGCTGCTGTGAACATTTGTGTACAGGGCTTTGTTTGGACATGCTTTCACTTCTCTTGAGTACATATCTAGGAGTAGAATTGCTGTGTCATATGGTAACTCTGTATTCAATTTTGAGAAACCACCAAACTGTCTTCCACAACAGCTGTACCATTTTACATTCCCACTAGCAATGTTTGAGGGTTCTCAACACTCTCATTGTGCCCGGAGAGGTCGATTAACTTCCCAGGCTCACACAGTGGATTGGTAGGACTAAAACCCATGCCTCTTAACTCATAAACCCATGTGGCAGTTAGTGACAGAAATAAGAATAAAAACTGCAGTCGACTGAAAGAAAGCCTTCGCTAACTGAAAGATTTCTACCAATTCAGGAAAAAGAAAACAGTTTTTTATACTTATGGAAGTCTTCTCTTCAGATATCACTGTTTCTTTACTTTAATCAGTTTTCAAAATTGTATTTCGTAAGTGATTGCAATCACTGTTCTTTGCTCAGATTGTCCCCAAAGTCTATAGCTGTTCTGGCCCCTCAGCCTAGACCACCGTGAGTCTTAGAACTCTGGATCAGGAGAGCTCATCATCAGTCCAGCTCCCTCATTTTGCAGATGAGAAACTGCTGAGCTGTGGTCTTAAGGATCTCAGCGAACTCTGGTACCCTCTTGGGACACACACGGGGCTCTAGCACCCTTTCCTAAAGTGTTCTCTGTTCCTCTGCCTTTCCCTCCAGGTGCAATATCAGCTACTTAGAAGAATGGCTTAAAGATAAGAATTTGCAGAACAGCTTAGCAAAGGAAACATTGGAGCCCCTCTCTCAGGCAGCCTGGTTGCTTCAGGTCAAGAAGACCACAGACAGTGATGCTAAGGAGATCTACGAACGCTGCACCTCACTGTCTGCTGTACAGGTGACCAGACTTGCCTGGTGTCTCCCTGGCTCTTCCCTGACACATCAGTGCAGTGGGCATTGCCTTTCTTGGCTTAGCCCGCTGTGGGCACCCTGGTTCTGTGTGTTCTCTTGGGATCATACCTATCACCCATGGCCCACCCTTTTATCTATAAATATTTATTAAATACTAACACTAGGTCTTAAACACAAAGAAATGGGCTGGGCAAGGTGACTCACAGCTGTAATCCAGCACTTTGAGAGGCCAAGGTGGGAGGATTGCTTGAGCCCAGGAGTTTGAGACCAGTCTGGGCAACATAGCAAGACGCTCTACCAAAAAAAAAAAAAAAAAGCTGGGGGTGATGGCACACACCTTTGGTCCCAGGTACTTGGGAGGCTGAGGCGGGAGGATCATGTGAGTCCAGGGATTCGAGGCTGCAGTGAGCCAAGATCATGCCACTGCACCCCAGCCTGGTCAATAAAGGGAGACCCTATGTCAAAAATAATAATAATAATCATCACACACACATACACACAAATCTCTGCAATGCATTCCCTGCCCATTAAACTCACAAATGTGTATGTGGAGGGGTGGGCATGTGGGAGGTGGGGAGGCTGGAAGGGGCTCCTCTTACTGATGTCTGATTATCTGATTTGCCTTTGCTCCCTATGGCACTTTTCTCCCTTTGTTTTCTTTTCTTGGAAATAGGTAACATACAGTTCCTGAGCCAAATTATAGGCCAAAAGAACCACCTGTGCTTCCCAATGGTTCCCAATAACCAGAACCATTATTTTATGAACAGAGTTATTATTTTGCATGGTCTAACGCCATGTTATGTACTGTTTGCAGATCATAAAGATCCTTAATTCATACACGCCTATAGATGACTTTGAGAAGAGAGTGACTCCATCCTTTGTTCGCAAAGTACAGGTGAGATTCTTAAGGATGTGCCTTTTAATTTTTATCTCCTAACTATGGTATAAGATGTTGATATTTAATTAACATTACAGAAATCCAGGATTAAAATACATTTACCCACATATACAAATGGAAGGCACCTAGCTCAAAGATAAGCCGGAAATTTTCCTGTGAAATTTTCAGAATCCACCTTAGTCCAGGTGGGAAGTGAATGAAAACACCAAAACCATGATTCCCATGCTGTATTCTGTCAATATATCTTATTTCTTACTGATCTTTGAATACCATGCAAGTGGGCAGAGGCTGAATGGAAACCGAGATGATTTTTCTTTTATAATCATTTGTATAACCATTTTTTCTTATATAATCCCTAAAGTTTCTCCCCTAAGGAACGCTAGGGCAGCAGTTCTCCAAGTTTGGCTCAAGGATCCCTGGGAGTCCTTGAGACACTTTGAAGAGGGTCTGCAAACTCTTCCTTTTTCTGAATACATACCTGTGGATTTTCTAAATAGGTATCTGTGGATTTTCTAAATAGATACCTGTGGATTTTCTTCATGTATTTCAACCAAAATAACGTATCACAACAGATTGAATGCAGAAACAGATATATATGATATGTTATATATATGATAATATGACATATATATTAAAATATGGCATATATAATATATGATTATACATGATATATTAAGTCAGACATTAAAGGGATTTGCAAAAATAGAAAATACCACTTCTCACTAAATTTTCTTTGTTTTGGAAACTTATGTTTAACATGTATTGAGCTTATTTTAATGAATTAATAAATCATTTTAATTACTAAAATGGCAAATACTGATAGTCATACCCATATACACAAAAGCTTTTGGGGCCTTGGTAATGTTTTAGTATAAAGCAGTCCTGAGAGCAAAAAGGTTGCAAACCCATGAATGAAGAAGAAAGTTGGGTTCAATAAAAATGTAATATTTGAAATCTACTCATGTTTGACCTTAGAATTATGCTGATTAGAAGAGATTAGAATATAAAACAGATTTATGGTCAGCTCATCCCATGGGAAATTAACTTCTGAAGTGAAACAGGCAAGTTAATTGTTCATGAGAGCTGATCTGGAAGCCCTGGATAGACTTTGGAATTGTGCTGTTGTTAAAAAGCTCTCATGTATGTCATTTCACGTGATGGTGCAAGGAGTTCTCCACTAGAGATAGTTGTGTTTTGCCGTGACTTTCAGGTAGCAGTAAAGCAGAACATGTTAGTTTCCTTACTCATTTTTCCTCTGATTCTGATTCCAGGCTCTCCTAAATAGCCGTGAGGATTCATCACAGCTGATGTTGGATACCAAATATCTCTTTCAAGTCACATTTCCTTTTACCCCGTCTCCACATGCTCTGGAAATGATTCAGATCCCCAGCAGTTTCAAGCTAGGCTTTCTGAATAGGTTATAGCAGGAGAAAAAGTCAATGCACTTTTTCCTCAAAAGCTAAGTGAAGGTTCAATATGAGGGATGTGGTTTATTAATTGGCAATGGAAATTGGAATGTGATTTAAGGAAGAAAATAGACTTTTCTCAAATGGACTACATCATCTCTCACCCACAGTGACAGTGCTGCTACTGCAATTTTGTAAGAATTCACACATACCAGCTGTAGTTGGAAAAGCCATGTCTCACTCTCAAATCTCAGCTGGTTTTGACTGAAATTCCTGGAGGGCTCATATTTTCTTCCACGTGCCTCTTGATCTGTTCTGTCTGTGGCAGGGCTCTACCAGGAGGGAGTGAGATCTGGGGACACAGTGGCTTCCAAGTTTTCTAAGGTTCATGTGAAGCCTGAGTACATTTACAAAGCTGCAAGTGGATTCCAGCGCTCAGTCTTCCAGGAAATAATCCCATCTGGCCACCATGGCCTGCCAAGAGCTCTCTTGCCCCGTGCCTGCTGGGGACGGAAGGTTTTCATGAATTCGTTTTAATGAAAATGCCCTGCATTGAGAAATGTTTATTTTAGAAAAGTTAGCCAGGCATGATGGCGGGCGCCTGTAGTCCCAGGTACTCGGGAAGCTGAGTTGGGAGAACAGCGTGAACCTGGGAGGCAGAGATTGCAGTGAGCCGAGATCGCACCACTGCACTCTAGCCTGGGCAACAGAGCCAGACTCCGTCTCAAAAAAAAGAGTTTATTTTAGACCCTTCTAAATTTTTTTTTTTTTTTTTTTTTGAGACTCCGGAGTCTAGCTCTATTGCCAGGCTGGAGTGCAGTGGTATGATCTCGGCTTACTGCAACCTCCGCCTCCCAGGTTCAAGTGATTCTCCTGCCTCAGCCTCCTGAGTAGCTGGGACTACAGGTACACGCCACCACGCCCATCTAATTTTTGTATTTTTAGTAGAGACGGGTTTCACCATGTTGGCCAGGATGGTCTCGATCTCTTGACCTTGTGATCCGCCCCCCTCAGCCTCCCAAAGTGCTGGGATTACAGGCATGAGCCACCTCACCCAGCTGACCCTTTTAATTTTTAAGAGAGTGTTCAATCTGAGATGAATCATATGAAGTATTTTTATGTGTATATCTATTTTAAACTAATATATTATTAAAGCGTAATTGCCGTGCCATTTATCTTCTCTGAAAGAACTTCACATCTTACCTACCAACATATTCACCATAATTTTTTTTATTTTTTAATACCTTTCATACAATAACTTTAAAAAAAAATCAGTTTAAAAAGGCAACCTAAATTATTTTCTGTCTCTAATCAGCATTTCAATGTATTTATTTTTAAATTTTCTCCAAAAGTAACTAAAAAATTATGTCGGACCCTCCTTTTGAGAAATCTGTGTTTCCCAAGTTTTATGGGAACTGGCTATTTCTTGTCCCGGCACACCTTCTCATTCCTTCCTTTCAGAGCCTAAAACCTCATTTGATAAGCACTCCTAGTCTCTGGCCTGTGGATCCAGTGCTGTTGTGTTACCAACCCAAGAATCCCAACTGCACCTTCTGCGTCTAACAGTCACAGGTGATAGCTGTGATTCTATATATACAGACTAGTGTCTTAGAGGTAGCAATAATACAGGATTATGAAGCGATATCACCCTGCTAATATGTAATAATATCTTTTCATATTATAAGTGATTGAGTTTAGTTCATTTCAATATATTGTACATGAAAAAATGAAAAGTAGAACTTTGTAATACTTTAATCAATAAAATTAATTACCAAATGAATTGGGTCAGATTCTTTCATTGCAAGGAGATGACATGTCTCTTAAGTGCACAAGTTTTATGCCTTTTTTTAGGGTCACACTGAAAGACGCTAGAATCTTTACAGATCCATAATATCTCATTTAAAGTATATTAAAATGTGTAGAAAGGAAGTAAACATGTCACAGTGCTGGCTCAGGCTGTGTCTCCAGGGTGCTTCCACACTGTGTCAGAATGAGGGGCTACTTGGCAGAGAATTGGCTGGATTTCTGATCCTGAGCTGTGACCTCTATGCCCTTTCTAGACCTTCCCCACACCATGAGGAGCCATCACGGTTGATTTTCGGCTTCCATAACTCAGGATTTATGCCTGTTTTACAGCACTTACCCTGGGCTGGAAGCCAGAAATGCTGCCCACTTCCTCTGTAGGCCTGTGAGCCCCAGAGGGCAGGTACCACATCCTCTGCATCCCTGCCTTCATCCTACTGCTGATGAGGTGGGAGAGAACTGACGGAGCCAAGTCCTGTTGGAGGACTGTGTGTGTGTGGTGGGGAGTCAACCATGGGACAAAGTAGGTCATGTTTGGGGACAGGGAGACCTGTGGAGGCTGAGGAGTTTATGTGTGGAAACATGGGGAGAGGGAGGCACTCACCCCACAGTCTTGATCAGTTCTACAAAGCTGACAGTGGCAAGGAGACCAAAATAGAGAAATGTTAAGAACATGCGGCCCAGGTGAATGTAAGGCCTGCTCAGTGAGTGGGCGCAGACACAGAGGTCAAACCTGCCAAGGTCTCCCTCCACAGTGAGGCTGGGCAGAAGGTTCCAGGGGTGAGTGAGGGATGCAGATGGCAGCGCGTGCCCAGCAGGGAGCATGGAAGTGCAGTGGAGGAAGAAAGCAAGCTGAGAAGCACTCTGAGAAGATAAGGAGATTAACCGGTGGGAGAGGTGCTTCACACCTCAAGCTGAGCTAGTCCTCACCTCTCACCGTCTGCTCTGTGGCTCCCAGTGCTGACTCTGGAAGGTACGTGCATGCTGACATTTAGTTAAAATACTCCAGCTTTTGAAGTGCTCGGAAAAGCATCCAGATGAGTACAGGCCACAGTGTTAGCAGGTCTTTGTGGTGGGAGCATGGGTGAGGGGTTTTGTTGCTGTTAATCTGTAAAATCTAATTTTTCTACAATACACATGAATTTATTTTGAAACAGTAAAGTGTTTTTTACATTAATAGTGGCATCAGGAAAAAGATTAAGCATACTTAAAATCACTAAGTTAGTTTTAAAATTTGATCCAGGTGACACATGACAACATAAGCCTCTGAGTACAGTTTATGGGGTTAGAAAAAGGTTTTTGACACAGAACATTTTGTAGTTGTAAGTCTGAGATACATCCACATTGTTGTGTGTATCAATTTGTTCTTTTTTACTCTATGCTCATTTCACAATTTAGTCTACAACTGGTGAACATTTGGGTCTTTCAAGTTTAGGCCTTCTATGAATAAAGCTGCTATGACATTTATGTATGTATGTGTGTGTGTGTGTGTGTGTGTTTTTAAAGGAAATAAGCATTATTTTCCGTGGCGTATGTATGCAGGAGTAGAATTGCTTGGTCATAGAATATATCCGTTTCACTGTATTAGCTCCTACCAACCAGTTTTCTACAGTGGTTATACCAACTTACACTCCCATCAGCAGAGAAAGGCAGTTCCAGTCTCTGCATCCTTGCCCACACTTTTGTGTTGTCAGGCTTTTTAAGTTTCCTGATGGGTAAGTAGTTGTATCACACGGTAGTTTTACTTTGTATTTCTTTGATGACTAATGATAATGAGCACTTTTTTATATGTCTATTGACCATATAAGTATCCTCATTTGTGAAGTGACTACACAAGCCTTTTGTCCATTTTAAAAATAATCTTTATTGAGATATGATGTCCACGTTTTGTTTCATGTTTTAAAACCCATCATTTTAAAACATATATTTCAGTGTTTTCTTAGTTTATTTACAAGGATTTGCAACCATTGTCACTAACTCCAGAGTATTTTCATCACCCCAAAAAAGAAATCCCATACCCCTTAAGCAGCCACTCCCAACTCCCTCCTTCCCCCTTACTCTCTCTTCCCTCCACCTCCCAGCTACTCATCTGCTTCCTGTCTCTACGAATTTGCTGATCCTGTACACTTCACATAAATGAAATCATACAACATGTGGCTTTTTGTGTCTGGCTTCTTTCATAGGATAGCGTTTTTAAGGTTGGACCATGTTGTAGCATGTAGCATGTGTCAGAATGTCATTCTTTTTTGTTGCTGAATAGCAGTCTACTGGAGGGATAGACATTTTGTTTATTCGTTTGTCAGTTAGTGGACACTTGAGTTGCTTTCACTTTGGGCTAATAATGCTGCCATGAACATTTGTAGGTGCATTTTTTTTCTTTTTTCCTTTTTTTTTGAGACGGAGTCTCCTCGCGTTGCCCAGGCTGGAGTGCAGTGGTGTGATCTCAGCTCACTGCAACCTCCATCCCGTGAGTTCAAGCGATTCTCATGTCTCAGCCTCCCAAGTAACTGGGATTACAGGTGCCTGCCACCACGCCTGGCTAATTTTTGTATAGTAGAGATGGGGTTTCACCATGTTGCCCTGGCTGGTCTTGAACTCCTGACCTCAGGTGATCTACCCGCCTGGGCCTTCCAAAGTACTGGGATTACAGGCGTGAGCCACCACACCTGGCCAGTGAACATACATTTTTAATTATCCTGGGTATATATCTAGAAGTAGGATTGTGGGGTCATATGATAACAGCTGTATATTTAATGTTTTGAATAACTACCAAACTGTTTTCCACAGCTGCACCATTGGAAAATGGATACCCCACTTTACCTTTCCACCAGCAATGTATGAAAGTCCTTTTGTCCATTTTTAATTGAGTTAATGAAGCAGTATTGAGTTAATGAAAAGTAAAAAGTGGATATATCTTATGTATCCAAACACAGGAAGTTGGTTTAATAAATTATGACACTCCATAGGACAGAATAATGCTGAACCTATTACCAAAAAAGGTAGATCTATAAGTGTTAACAGAATATGTTAGACAAAGAAAGCAAGTAGCCCTATTTGCATGACTACCAAAGCTGTATCTATGTGTTTGTGCCAGAAAAGTCTGGAAGAATAAACAACAAAACAAATAAGGGCAGTGAAAATGCAGGGCATGTGATGGGGGATTCAAGTTTTACTTTCTCACCTTTGGTATTGGTTCTTTTTAAAATAAACATGTATTTCTGTGGTAATTTTTAAGCCATATATTTAGGTAAAACAGGTATCAAAGACAGTTTGTGCTTGGCATAAGGTTATTAGGGGAAGGTTTGAGAAGTTCTATGAACTCCTACTGGCAAGCAACTTCATGTCAAAATTTGTTAAATGGGGCATTTTTGTCTTTCTTGTCAAAATGTTCATCGAAACATTGGCTCTAGCTGTGAAAAATTCTCTCATCATAAAAAGGATTATTGACAATAAGTACAACAGAAAGTACTAAAATTAAATTTAGCTCATGATATAAATACTAAGTGAAAAACATCAAGATACAGAAATGTCATCAGTATACATGAACAGTATGACCTCTGTGGTCTCAAATCTATTCTTGCATACACCAAAATGTAAAAAGAAGTTTCTCTGAGTCGTGGGATTATAGGTGATTATCTTCTTCCTTATACCTTTTTCCCCCCAAACTTTCTACAATCATATGTATAACATTTACAGTTTAAAAATGCTTTAAATTTAGTTTGTAGCTTGACCATGTTTAACCAGTGAGGTCTAAAATGCTAGCTATGTGATATGACTTAAGGCCCATATGACTCAAAAATTGGAGTATCCATTAAAAAATAGTATT